TAGTGTAGACTGCGGCTCAGGCTGTGGAACGGGACTACTCTCATGCTTAACATTAAACATGTGTAAGCACTTCACTGGATCAGAGTCTAGCTCATCTATTTATCTTGGGAGTGAATTGCTCATCTGCGTGGAGGGAGGATATTGAATGTTGGAGACAGGGGAAGATGGAGATTGGAACTGGAGCCAGAAATGGGTATGGGAGCCAGATCAGAAGGCTGAATTCCCCAGCAATTTAGTCTTTAGTTTAAAAAAGCAACAATGACAAAATATATGTAATTAATAAGTTTTGACCTGTCACCAACCTGCTCCGTATTCTCCCTTTTGTCTGTATTGTCTTTTTAGAGTATCAGCTCTCCCACAGCAGGTTTATGTTACCCTCAGTGTTAAGAAAAGGCCTCCTACCTAGAAGGTGCTACTGGAATCTAAATAATAAATAGCAATAACAGAGTATTCCTTCCCATTCCCAGACAGGTGCCATAAATCAATATGCTTAGATTGTAATTACTTCTTAGATTGTAAACTCTTTGGGACAGGCAACATCTCTTTGTTCTGTTTGTACAGTATCTAGCACAATGGGGGTCTGGTCTGTGACTGTGGCTTCTAGGTGCTCCAGCAATGTACATTAATAAAATACTACTACTAACAATGATAATTAATATACACAGTCACCAAGTTAACAGACAGACCCAGAAGTTGTTTCAGGATAGAGCCCTAATCAAGCCTAATCTCATTTATACAGATTTTGGGGGAAGAGATAAGTGTACAAGGTGAGGAGAATATAAAAAAAATACACATGAACCTCTTCGCTTGGTAGGTGAAGTGGAGAGCCTCATCTCCAATGCTCTGGACAGCACAAGATGCAAGCTTGCTTCCAAATACTAGTCTCTGCCTGTCAGTGTAGCAATCTCTGTGAAAGACACCAACAGGCTGGCTGTTCCTAATTACTATGCCTTGGTGACAGACATCTACTGCTGAGCTTTCATGAGATCTGATGAAGAAGTTTGTCAGCACATGTCAGTTTTTCGAATGGAAACAATGGGCACAGTTACACTCCTCGTGAAAGGCTGCCTTTGGGATGAGAGATAAAATGAAGGCCCTGACTGCTGTGGTCATGAAAGATTCCATGGCACTTCTTACAAGACTTGGGATGTTAACCCGGTTGTGCTGGCCAAGTTCTAATTTGGGTATTCATTCTGCCTCCCTAAATTACCCTGCAGTTTCAGTTGGATACTTTGTTCTTCACTCTGTCTTCCAAACTGTTGTGTAGTGTTGCTGTGCACTGTTAATCATCTGTCCTTTTCTGCTCCAGTGGGGGCTGCATTTCAGTGGTGGGTGAGGTGATCTCAGGCAGATAGTTTGCAAAACACTTAGAGATCCTTGTATAAAAGGCATCGTTCTAAATGCCAGTCATTACCATTAGCAAAGATCTCGCTCTCCTAGTGTGTACATGTGACATTGCACTCCATATGTTTATGGAAATATATTTATAAGTGTAAATATGATGTAAGTGGAATATGCTTTATGCAAAAGGTCTCTTGTAAGGTATCATATTACAAAGCATATAATCTACTGAGTGTGGTCATCCTTTTTGTATGAAGGTATCATTCTTGGATCTGAAATTAGCAATATGAAATATAATTCTGAGGTCCTATTGTAGTTATGCAACATGTGGGCCATTAATGGTGGTTGGGAATCTTGATAGCCCCTATTAACTAGGACAATTGGTTGTAGATGGCTCTGTTTATTTCTAAGCCTTCCTGTATAAGTGTGTGCCAGCAAGTGGGTAATGAAGTCTCACAGGACGTGTGAACATGTCACATCATACTGGAATCCATCTTGAACCTGGTGCTTTCCCACTTAGAAGGAGGGGGGGAACCCAGAGAGAGACAAAGGATTCCCACCTTGTGCCAAAGCTATAAAAGGGGGTGGAACAGAACAAAGGGGTCCCAGTCATGTGGAATCCCCTGCTTTTCACCTAAGATGCCTGCTGGAACTAACAAGGCCTGTACCGCGGAAAGGATTGAACCCAGACTAGGAAGGAGTCTAATCTGTGAAAGGTTTCAGAGTAGCAGCTGTGTTAGTCTGTATCCGCAAAAAGAAAAGGAGTACGTGTGGCACCTTAGAGACTAACAAATTTATTAGAGCATAAGCTTTCATGAGATTTGTAGCTCACGAAAGCTTATGCTCTAATAAATTTATTAGTCTCTAAGTGCCACAAGTACTCCTTTTCTTTTAGTCTGTGAAAGAAACTTATTGGCACATCTCTAAGGGTGAGATTTACCTGTATTCAGTTTCTTAATGTATTAGGCTTAGACTTGCGTGTTTTGTTTTATTTTGCTTGGTAACTTACTTTGTTCTGTCTGTTATTACTTAAAACCACTTAAATCCTACTTTTTTACTTAATAAAATCATTTTGTTTATTAATTAACCCATAGTAAGTGATTAATACCTGGGGGAGCAAACAGCTGTGCATCTCTCTCTCTCTTTCTCTGTTATAGAGGGTGGACAATTTATGAGTTTACCCTGTGTAAGCTTTATACAGAGTAAAACGGATTTATTTGGGGTTTGGATCCCATTGGGAACTGGGTGTCTGGGTGCTGGAGACAGGAGTACCTGCTGAGCGGTTTTCAGTTAAAGCCTGCAGCTTTTGTGGGACGTGGTTCAGACCCTGGGTCTGTGTTGTAGCAGGCTTGTGAGTCTGGCTCAACAAGGCAGGGTTCTGGAGTCCCAAGCTGACAGGGAAAACAGGCTCAGAGGTAGTTTCAGCATGTCAGGTGACAGTCCCAAGGGGGTCTCTGTGACTGAGCCCATCACAGTATATAGTATTACTGTATCAAAAATTTAAGCTGTTCACTTCAGGGTAAAGAAACCACACACTGGTCTTGCCAAGATTCCCCACATCACCTGGGATAGTCCCTGTGAAAGGTCTGTGTCCCATCTTTCTTCTCTGGCAATAGCCATTGCTATATTTAATATCCCTTTGTCTTTATTTCTAACTTTAAAGTGAAAGAGAGAGAGACGTAACTAATCCATTAACAATGACTCAGAACAGACATGGTTAAAATATGTGAGAAGCTCAGGAATAAGAAACATTCATAGTTTCACTGCCACTTTCAAATAAGAGCTTAAAAAAAATCTCCCACCAGCTGGTCTATAAAATGCGTGACTTGTACATTTGTAAGCTACAAAAGTCCACAATCTCACAGAACATTAGGACTCGTCAACCAGAACCCACAAGTCATGACACTGGGACCTTGGCTCTGTCCTTGCTAAGCTGAGGACCAGATTCTGACTGCAAATGACATGAGCAGAATTAATGTGTGGAGAGAAGCTTTTCACTGGCATAAAGCCAGCCAAGGCAGCCCCTACACCAGCTGGATCTGTCCTCACCGTACTCCCCAATACAGGAGTTAGCTTGGGGGAAGGGAGGGGACATGGTGGCATTTTAGGGACCTTGTACCAGTGGCATAAATTACAGCAGCACCTAGCCTGCTCCAATTCATGCTGGGGCTGGGCCGGCACAAAAACAGGGAGAATTACAAGCTCCCTGAGGTCCTAACCCCAAAAGCCCAGAAACTGTTCTACTGTGCAGGCACCTGCCTTGGAAAGTTCATTTCCTTATGTATCTGCTGTAGTGACCATCTGGAGATAAGGGAATTACTCAGATCAGTCCTTGTATGAGTTCAATTGCATTCACCAGGACTAGGAGTTTAGATTCCTCATGAAACACTTTATTCCTAGATGTGGCTCGGGTAAGTGCCAGTGTCTCTGATTCAAGGTATCAGAGCCGCTGAGCCAGACGCCCAAACTAACTAAAAAATACTATCAATGGCTCCATTGAAAATGCCAATGGCAAACACAACCCACAGCTTCAAAAAAAAACGGAGTGCTGAAATGAGTGGGGCTGCCTAATCTGTAGAATTGTCAGGTAACAAGGGGGGCTGGGGCTGGGGAAGAGGGTATCTGGGGAAGGGGGCAGCTTCTTAAATGTGGAAATTACACAGATGGAGTTTCCACTCAAAAGGTCTTAGAAGGTGTGAGTTTTGGCAGAGCTGTTGTGGTTCCCATGGAAACCCAATGAGGCTGGAGCCGGGATGTCTGGGGAGAAAGATGACAGCAGTACATTGTAAATGCATTGTAATTGCCCTTGGAACACATGAACTGGAAGCCTCTGGTCTGACGCAGCACATTGGAGATATGTTGTTGCTTACTGTACAGAAACTTTTTTATCTCTGCATCTATTACATATGGTCTCAGGGCCTCTTTTTTGCAAAGCAGCCTTCTGTTTTCTGATATCAAGCCCTTTCTAGAATACCTTGGGCGTCAAGCAGGATATGCCCTGGAAGCCATGAGGTTTAGTAGATTGCGCATTACGCAGATCAAGAAAGCTCCATGACAAAAATACATCACTGGCTCAGTGCACCGAAGGCCCAGTCTGTGCCAGCAATGACAGCACTTTGCAGTACCCGATGCGCAGTTCCTTTTGTGATCTCTCTCTTTCAGCTACAGCTCATCTACCAGATCTGACGCAGAGGGGAACAGCGAGGTACTGCTTGTTTTCCAACACTATGGAAATGAGATGGCAAAGTTCTGCTCTCTTCCCCCTAGGCTACACATCACAGCCAGGTAACACAGCTTCAGAGCTGTTAGCTTACCTCTGACAGGGCTTTTTGATCATGTTAAACACACACAGCTGAGCGAGCACCACTGAAAAACACTCCTTTTTCCCCTCAGAAAAACAGGACCAGAGGGAGATGAGAGCTACAGAATGTAGATAGAGGCAATGGTTTGGCCAGTGCATACACATATTTCAGCATTAGCTCCAACTCTGTTTACAATACCCATGATGCCCAATGCCTCTGTGAAACAATGCAACTTGTGCAAGGGAGTCGCAGCATATTGTATGTTGTAATGTATATTCGTTTTATTCAGGATTATTTTACCTCTTAGTAAATCCAAGGCAATTTTCAAGAACCTGTTTCCAAATGGAGAGGAGGGGTGGTTGTTACAGAAAACCATTAGTGATCAACGGACAGTTGGGGTATAGACTTGAAAATGTATGTCAGAGGACAGGATACACCACCTCCCATTTAAGGCAAATGATGCCATCGCTGTCGCGGGATATACTTGGAAAGAATCATCGGATTCTTCATTTGAACGGACCCTTTGGCAACTGGCACACTTAGATTAGAGCATGATCCTCCTACAAAGGGTTTTGCCCCTAAACATCTAATGAAGTCAGTAGGAGTCAATGCATTCAGCCTCTCTCCGATTTTATCCCATCTTCTTTTCTGTAACTGATGAACTGCAAATAGAAGTGTACCCAAAGGAGCAATGTGGTGTGTGCGTAGAGCCAAGGTTTAAATCAGGTCTTGCGTCACCCTGAAGGAAACTGAGAGACACATTATTTTTACTCACACAGTAGGCTTTGGTACAGAAAACAGCCTGGGCTAAAGCTCATCCTCAAACTCACCCAGCCCAGTTAGGGCTGGAAAGAGCCAGGCCTGAGACAACAGAAGGAGCTCTCATTCTCCGTCTGAGTAGGGCTTTGTGAGTCAGGCTGTGTTTGCACAAACTGGACCTGGTTACTAACTGCAAGTTTTCCTTTCTGTAACCACTTTGCCTTTGAAGGTTATTATTAGCAATATAATAATAGTTATTAATAGCAACCTTAAGTTTGCACCCTCATGCAAGATAACATATGTGATAACATAACTCTGGGGACTAGGATTACTTGGCTTTTTTTTCTGTTTGACTCTGATTGCACCTGCAAGTATTCTAGTGAGTGAGTTTACTGGCAGGGCATATGTAGAAAAAGTGAACAGCAATTAGTAGAGAGTATTAGGAATTACATGGATTCAGTAAGGGCTCAGAAACATACCATATGAGCTGTGAGTCCCATCAGAGCAAGCAACGCAGGTTGAATACCAAATATCCATTGTGATCTGCTTGTGTGAAATCTAGAGAGCAAAATTATTGGGTGCATCATTTTGAATAGATTTGAGAAAATTGTACTATTTTTGCAGTTTGTGAGAAAAGAAGAGACAAAACTCATGCAATAAATTATTCACTGCCAGTTACTCACCCATCCTTACTGTGGCAAGAGGATATTCATTAACATGCCTAGCCAAGTGGAGAGCTAACCAGACACCATAATTTGACTTCCATTTGTTTCACTCATGAATTTCCAAAGCAGATAGTTTTAATCTGCTCTTGAGATCCTGAGTGTGCCCTGGAGAATATTGGATGAGAAGTGCCTGCCTTGTCTCCTTTGCATCCTAATTACCAGATCACCATGTCTGAGCCAGGTGTAACCAACTATTCTGCAGCCCCAGGTGGGACAAAGGCATGAAGTATACAAGGGGAACTCTTGGCTCTATGAAAAGGAGTACTTGTGGCACCTTAGAGACTAACCAATTTATTTGAGCATAAGCTTTCGTGAGCTACAGCTCACTTCATCGGATCATCATGCATCCGATGAAGTGAGCTGTAGCTCACGAAAGCTTATGCTCAAATAAATTGGTTAGTCTCTAAGGTGCCACGAGTACTCCTTTTCTTTTTGTGAATACAGACTAACACGGCTGTTACTCTGAAATCTTGGCTCTGTGGAGAACTGCAATCTTGTTTTGTTCCGCCTCACTCATATTCCTGCATTTCTTTTTTTAAACTCTTATTTTTCTCTTCTTAGCGACCTCAGCATTATTTCATCACCTCTCCCCATTAAGGATGGGCCATGCAACTGAGACCTTTCCACCTTTCAAGATATTTATGGAAGGAAGAATAACCATCTGCCTGCTGCATGATTTAGATTCACTCAAGGATGCTCTGACTGATTTTGCCTATAGTGCTTTGCAAACAATTTCTGAGTATGAAACTGAGTGGGGTAAAGAGAAAACAAAACTTGTTTGGAAACATTCCAAAAATGTGCTTTCTTCTGCACTTGAGCAAATCCAAAGTAGTTCCACTGATTTCAACAATGTTTCTCTGTATTTATCATAGTGTAATTGAAATCAGAATCTGGCCCTATGTCACTATCATTAGATTGTTGTGAGGCTTATTTTAAGATGATGCTTCAGTTCTGTGACACTACTGTGGTTAGAGACAAGCGCCCATCTGTTTTCCACGTAAATCTGCGCTTGCCAATTGGAAGAACTGTCACAGTAAGCATGTCCTGGAATCAGGGGAGTTTGAAATGACACCTGCTTATGTCCTCTCCAAGGTTTGGATATCACTTTAAATATTCTAGACAACTTATTCCTATTGTGTAACTAATTCCGCTTTGCAGGACTTCCGTATGGTAAGCACAACTGTCCCACCCTGAGACTCCACGTGGCTGGGAAACAAAACTCTTTTTAGCATGAACCTCACCCTCCTTTACTGGACGGAAATCACAGTTGCTAAAGTGATTAATACTTGAAAAAGGTGTGTCTGCCTTGGAGAAGAATGGAATGTTGGGCTTTATGGCACCTGGAAAGTCTATTGGAAAAGACAAGTTGAATAGCAAAATCAGGACTGCAGGAACTGGATTGGTAATGAGTCCTTGCGGATGAGTTCTGCTTGTTATTTATTTACATATATTAAGAGGAAAAACAACTTTATTGTTAGTCGTTTGGTTTTCTTTCCCAAATGCAATATTAGTTATATAATTAAAAATACTATATCCCATGAAATACTCCCCCACCCCCAAAAATTTTTTTTGGGGGGGGCACCATGGAAGTTGTGCCATTGATTTCCATGAGGACATGTCCATAGTACATGATTTATATTTAATGATTTTAGAGCAAGGTTGGATGGCACGGGGTATTGACACTTGACCCATGTTTATGCTGCAGCCTCTGCCGTTTCGTTTCTACCACCAGTGGAGAATTCCTGGTCCCAACTTTCCCATTGTGTTTCCAGCTTAAGTGAGCTCCTTCCACCACAGCCCTGCCACCCTTCCTTAGGCAATCTACAGTCAGTGTAAAAGGAGCAGGAACAGAGAGAAATGGGGTGCTGGCTGGGTGATGGAGAACTCTCCCCTGGAGACTATGTGACACATGAATAACCTGAGACCCTTTAGGCAGGGGACAATAAATAATGCAGAGCTGACAAGGGGGCAGTGGGAGAATACACTAGACAAATAGATTGGCACACACGTGTCTTTTACTCTTAAAGTGTCTCTTTGGAGAATGGCTCCAATTTCTGTTCAGCTTTTTAACAGGGTGAAAGCCCAAGAGAGGTTTTAATTAAGTATTTAGCTGCTGGCAAATTTTGTATCCATCTGTTCCAGCATGGGATTTAGCTTTCTTTCATTCAGGCTTAGACTTCTGCAGCTGGCAGGTCACCTGGTGGTGAGCAGGGAGTGCCACACTCAGAGCCAGAGTAATCCCCGGCCTAATTCTACTGTCTGTGGTGCTGTTATACAAGGGATGATCTTGGCCCTGAATGTTCAACAGCTGGGACAGCAAATGAGGGAAAGTAATTTGTTTTCACTACTGTTTTCCCCTAAACTGAGCTGTCCATTTACTATATTGAGGGCTGGAATTGTTAACGTAGGGCCCACAGTGCTGAAAAGTATCAAGAGGCTGCTTGTTTCCTTTATCAAAGGACAGTAGAATGCCTACATAAAGGATCTCCTGTTAAAGAGCATATGCTTTCCATGCACCAAAGCCCGACAGATCTAAGGGACATGCAATCAGCTTCTAGCAGGACACGGGGAAATCACAAAGGAAAACTGGTTTAGCAAAAGAATTGATCCATTAATTGGAGACTTCCCTGGGCCTCAGATATATTTTATGAAACAGCCAAGCCCTGAGAAATGAACATACTGTAAAAGGACAAAGATAATGAGGGTAATCGGCCCAGAGAGAACTGAAGGAAATGTGCTCATAGGAGGACAGGGGAAAGCTTTAGTGCAAGGTCTGAAACAGGAGACAGTGCACATCCAGTTGAAGGGGCAGAAAAAGCAAGGCGTGAAGCCTGCACAGAGCTGGACCCCTCCAACCCATGTGGTACCTGAGAAAGACATAACAAGAACCAGAGACTGGAAATTAAAACCATCCAAATTCAAATTAGAAATAAGGCACAACAACTTTTTTAACAGTGAGGGTGATTAATCATTGGAGCAACCTACCAAGGGAAGTGGTGGATTCTTCATCTTTTGATGTCTTCAGATCAAGACCGGCTACCTTTCTGGAAAATTTGTCATTGGGCTCAACGCAGCGGTAACTGGGTGAACGTCTATGGCCTGTGATATACAGGGATGTCAGATTAGATCAGGGATTGGCAACCTTTGGCACGTGGCCCATCAGGGAAAGCCGCTGGTGGGCCGGGCCAGTTTGTTCACCTGCAGCGTCCGCAAGTTCGGCCGATTGCAGCTCCCACTGGCTGCGGTTCACCATTCCAGGCCACTGGGGGCTGCGGGAAGCGGCACAGGCCGAGGGATGTGCTGGCCGCCCTTCCCACAGCCCCCATTGGCCTGGGACAGCGAACTGTGGCCAGTGGGAGCTGTGATAGGCCGAACCTGCAGACGCTGCAGGTAAACAAACTGGCCCGGCCCGCCAGCGGCTGTCCCTGAAGGGCTGCGTGCCAAAGGTTGCCGATCCCTGGATTAGATAATCTAATGGTCCTTTCTGGCCTTAAAATCTATGAATCAAATCAAAATCCAAAGTCCAGCACCTGAACTTGGGTGATGTTCTGACCCAGATCTGAATACTGGGGTTCAGGCTTATTTCTGCTCATGAGTCTCATTCTTTTTGTGCCTCATCTCCAGTCCCTCCTGATGCAGAGTATGACCCCCCCCACACACACACACACACTTCATGGCTTTGCTGTGTGCCTCACTCACAGCTTGGTCCACAGAGGGAATTAAAAGCATTTGCAAACATTTCAGATCGCGTCAGGCATTGTATGGGCAAGCGCTGTGCAAGATTCCCACGCACAGCCCTGCCGACGCACCTCTGATCTGCAGCACCTGCTCCTACAGACCTGGCCTCCCACACAGCTAATGTTATTTATTTGCTGGGTTTATTTATAGGGCTTTATGTGGGGCTGGTAGAGTGCAGCAGCCGGGCGCCGTACAGCTTATTAAAAACAAACAAAAACATGCGAGTCGTCTCAATGCAACTACTCAGCATCCATCGCCTGCCCAGCGAAATCTCTGGCCTTAATAGTATGTCAAACGGAGTCAATTAATCAAGAGCCAAATTCCAAACACTTGGGGATCTGGAGGATGGAGTGTCCTGGAAGGCGAGGGATGAAGTAAACTCAGGTTGCAATAAAAAGTGTGCTCCAGGGAAGCACAACTGCCATGATTGAGCAGCAGGGAGGGAAACAGAACAAGATCCTTAGCTGGTGTAAACTGGCATAGCTCCACTGTCTCCAAGGTAACTACGCCAATTAACACCAGTGGAGGATCCAGCCCACAGACTCTAAATGAGTCCCAGATCTTGGAGGGTTTGGAAGATTATAATTAGCAACTGGAATTGTCCTTGGAAGAGCACAGATAGTCAACAAAGAACGGGGTGAGTATGTTTTCTATGGGCTCACAATGACCCACCCTGCTCCGGAGGCGAGCAGTCTCATTCCGCACCAGCTGAACATTCCACGTGCTCCTCAAGAGTGGGGCATATCACAATAGCCTAGCTAGGCGGTTCGGATTGCAACTCACCCCTGGCCTGTGCTATCAGGGATTAAGTGTCAGCAATGCACCCAGCTCTGAAATAGTAGCTCACACGATACCAGATACAAACAGGACAGATGGGACATGCTGGGAGGGCTGCTTGTTAAGGTCTCATGGTTTGTGGGCAGCTGTCACAGTTCCCAGGCGAACTGCACCTCTGACCCCTCGCAGTCCTGTCGAGCGCTCCCCTCCCGAGGCTCAGGCCTTGGGATGTTGTCTGGCTCTGATGGAATCACAGGATGCGCCACTCTCAGACTGGTCTCTGGGTTGCAGTGCCCTGATACTAACTGAGATTACCTCAGCAGGTCTGACAGAGGCTCAGACCCTCCCGTTCTGTTCCCTCTGAAGCAGGGACCAGTGGTTAATATTGTGACCAGGCAGCCTCCTTGAAGCAAAATATCATTTAGTTAGAACCACAGTATTTCAGAGAAAACAGCTCTTAAAACAACAAAACAGACTGTACGCATGTCTAGGTTTTCCCTAAGGTAGCGGTTCTCCAACTTCATTGCACTGTGACCACCTTCTGACAACAAAAATTACTCCATAACCCTGGGCAGGAGGGCAGGGAAATGGGGTGGAGCCAGAGCCCTGCACCCCAGGCTGAAGCCCGCGGGCTTGGTTTTCAGCCCAGAGCAGAGAGGCTCAGGCTTTGGCATCAGCCAACAAGTTTAACATCGGCTCTGGGTCATCTAAGGCATATGATTCCCTGGCTCTGGGAAGGCCCAACTGCTTTAGACTCCCTCTGCAGAGTCTCTCTGTGTCAGCCAGTCTCCTTAGACAGCCTCTGACAAGTGAGCCCCCCCATGCACCTCCTTTCCCCCGGAGCAGCAGTAGTGGACTTTTGATCTCCAGGCTCCTCACGTTGGCAGAACAAAGCTGGAAACAGGATTCTCGAAGCCAGCAGCCTGCCCCTCTGGCCTTTCAAGGAGGTGCTGGCTGGGTGGAGCGGGCTGGGGAGACACACTCAAAGCGCAGGGCCAAGATGTAGGCTGGGATGGAGATGGGCAGAGCCTTGCAGAGGAGGACAAGAGATGTAAACTGGATTGGGTGGGGAAGGGGAGCCCACAGAAGGATGTGGGGGATGGGGAGAGGCACAGTCAGAGCTTTGGCTGAGTACAATAATATTAGCAGCTACATTTTGGACAAACGGGAGGGGCAATGGGGGCTCAAGAGGACTGGAGAGGAGGCCACTGCAGTAACAGACAGAAGATGATCAGGGTCCAGAAGAACTTAGTCAAGGTGTTACTAGCCACAGCCCTTGTTATCTGGGACTCCCACAAAGCTCTGCTAAAGCATTTCCGTCCTAATCTGCAGCCCAGCCCTGCCCCAGCAGTCCCAGTCCTGGGCTCCCACACAGCTCTGATAGTGCCCCTCAGCCCTGATTTGCAGCACCCCCTGCTTTTCCAGTCCTGGGCCCTTACTCAGCTCTGCACCCTCAAGCTTTCTGCCACATCCCATGCCCACCAAGGAAGGGGTGAATTACCAAATGTCGGTGCTGTTGCTGGTGTAGTCTCTTTGGGTGCTGTTAACTGTACCAAGGGTTGACCAGAAACACTGCTGAACAAGCTCTTCCCATTAAAATAGAAAACCCACTTGTGTGTGGCTTTCGGCTCGAAGCAGACCTTGGCCAGACAAGCCTTCCTGTTGGCTATCCGGAGCGTAGGTGTGTGGCAGCAGGCACGTAGGGTTGATGGCCAGTAAGAAGTGACGCATTTTCCTCTAAAACTGTTCAATCACTTCACATTCCAGGTATTTCATGTCGTAATAAAAGTCCCTGTGTCCTGGATGCCAGTAAGGCCTGGGGGGGCGGGGGAAGGTGAATTAAATGAGCCTTTTACAAGCATAGAGAAGCACTTACTCCTCTTCAAGCCATTTAAGGCAAATGTTGCTAGACTTCTACCCATCCTGGTGTCCTGCTCAGCCCTGTATGCATTGTCCTTTGCAAACACCGTGGAGTCCCAGAAGTGGGGCTGGTGCACATCGTTGGCAGAAAAGTTGAAACAGAGAAGGAAAATGGCTATTTGTTTTAGAAATTGAGCAGAGGTGATTAGCGTGTTTGTGTGAAATGAATAAGGGCTTGTGTCTCTCCTCCCCTCCCACATTCTGCCAGCACTATCAGAGTCAGGTGGGAGTGGACAGCACTCAGGAGCTGCATGCACCTGGTTTCTGGGATGCAAATGCTGACAAAGGGCTTTTTTTTTTTAGGTTTGATCTCAAAGGAGAAAAAAATCAAAGAGCTTGGAAGCTCCTGGACCATGTTCACTCTGCTGCCTAATAAAATCAGCTGTAAGGCAGCTGCAGCGCTTCTAGGGTGACCAGATGACAAGCACAAAATATCGGGACATGTGGGGGGGCAGCCACAGGCTCACCCCCTACCAGGGCCGGCTCTAGGTTTTTTGCCACCCCAAGCGAAAAAAACCCAAAAAAATACTAGAGTGCCGTCGAAGCAAAATATAGGGACAAATGACATCCCGACTGTACGTCTGTCGGGACATGGGACAAATAACTAAATATCAGGACAGTCCAGATTTTATCGGGACGTCTGGTCACCCTAAGCATTTCTCACATAGGAAGAGTGAGGGGGGTGTGTGATTTGCACACAAATTGCTCCGCAAATCAGAATCCAAGAGGCCTCGTTTGCATGAAGATATAGCAGAACTGTGGCAAGGTCCAGATCTGCAAGGAATGGTCAGGACTCGGAGTGTAAATTAACAGAGGATTTATACACAGGGATGTGCTTCTATGAAGAAATGGTTGGAGTTTTGCCACTGAATTCAATGGGAGTATGTTCAAGCTCAGTATGTGTTATCCTCCCAAACGGGCAAACTTATGGCTAATCAACTCCTTCTTTCTAATTTGGAACAACCAACAAGGCATTCCCTGATTTGTCTTTTGAAAGGATTGGGTAAATGTTGAAACAAGAGTCTGGGGTCGATGCAAGTTTTCCTGCTCCCCAGCTCTGTCAATGATGGTCACTCACTCCAGGTCTGCAGAACCAGAGCCTCCCCTGCTATTCCAGTCCTGGGTTCCCATACATCCTAATGAGTATTACTCCTGTTATTCTAGTCCTTGATCTTTCTGCTTGTGATCTACACTGGATTTGAACTCAGGCCTCTGAGATCTCAAGGTGTAGCATTAACCTGCCACATCACCTAAACCAGGGTGGCCAACCTGAGCCTGAGAAGGAGCCAGAATTTACCAATGTACATTGCCAAAGAGCCACAGTAATACGTCAACAGCCCCCCGTTAGCTGCCCCCCTTGCCGCTCCCAGCACCTCCCACCCACCGGCAGCCCTGCCGATCAGCACCTCCTCCTCCTTCCCCGCACCTCCCGATCAGCTGTTTCATGGCATGCAGGAGGCTGCGGAGCAGGGGGAAAGGGGGAGGACTGAGGGCACAGCAGGCTCAGGGGAGGGCACGGGAAGGGGTGGAGTGGAGGCAGGGCCTGTGGCAGAGCCAGGGGTTGAGCAGTGAGCCCCCCCCAGCACATTGGAAAGTTGGCACCTGTAGTTCCAGCCCCGGAGTCGGTGCCTAGACAAGGAGCCCCAGGTTAACTTGTGAAGAGCCACAGGGGGCTCTGGAACAACAGGTTGG